CAGCCAGGCTGGCTGGGGAATTCTGGGAGTTGAAGTCCACACATCTTCAAGCAGCCAAGGTGGAGAAACACTGGTGTAAAGTGACATGCAGCATAAAATGGCTTGAGAGCATGCATGTGCGTGTGCACACACACACACTCATTGGTAGAAAGGCCTTGATGGGAAACCAGCTAGTTTCCATTTTGAGCATTCTGGGAATTCCTCCTGCTTGACCATCTTCCACTCTGCCCACCCATCTACACATTCTCGCCCTGCAGTGGTTTGCATCTGTGGCAGCTGTGCACCAGCGAGGGACTTGCACTCTGCGCATCTCCCAAAGGCCCTCGCCCCTCGCCCCCTTTCCTGGCAGCTGGGTCAGCTGAGGTCTCTGGCTTCGACGTGGCACCCAGCGATGTGGCTGCGGGGAGTGGAGCTGAGTCACCACTCTAGCTGGGCCGGGTGAGTCACGTCTCCGCAAGAGGCAGCGAGAGCCAGAGGCAAGCTGGGGTGGGGTGTGCCGGGACACGGAGCTGGAAAAGCAGATGCAGACACGTTCGGCCGATTGGTCCCCGTGCCGCCTGATGCCGTCGAGGGGCGCTTGGAGAGGCAACATAGGATCGGGGTCCCCAGTGGGTGAACCGGATACAAGGGCCTCAGTTTGCCTCCATGTGTTGACCAAACAGAACCTCCCTTGATGGCATCACGCGATGAGCCGGTTCACATAACCTCCCCAACCACAGAAAGTCCAGATGCATTCTACCTGGTCTAACAGGTTGTGTGAACCTGGAGAAAACGAGATCTCGCTCAAGCCGGGGTTGAAGACTTGGATTATTTTGGATGGCCTGATGTCGTAGGGTCCGATCTGTGGGAAGGTCTCTCTTTTCCAGCGTTGCTCCAGAAAGGTGCTGTGGGGAGGCAAGCCAAGATGGCACCCACAACGGTGCGTCGTGCCACCATCTTGACCTTTTTGCCCTGTCCTCAGTGAATGCCCCTGGGTCAGTGTGAAGCCTGTAGGCATTGTGAAAAGTTGCCAAGACACCTGGCTAGTTGTGAATATGACTTTTTTTATTACAGAGAGTGATAAAGATTCCTTGACCATTTTTGGATTTAATTCTGTATTCTTATTTGTTTTCATCTGTCCTTTAATCTGTATTTTGAGGTTCTTAAAGTTGTTTGCAATCAAAGCGGTCCATAAGGCTAAGTAAATACATTTTAAAAATCTGCTCACACTTCCAGTTGCCAAGTGTGTAGTGGGGCCTGCAAGACATGTTGGACAACAACTCCCATGATCCCCAGCTACCGCATGACTGTTTGCCACTTAGGGCAAGGAAAAAGCTGACTCATCCCGTGCTGCTGATGTTTATGTTTCAAAGTGCAAATGTCAGAACTGAACCTGAATCTATTTCCCCACACAGGGAGTTTCCTCAGTTGATTTCAGTTATGCTTCTTACTAACATCTGTTCGTTCTTTTCCGGATTTTATTTTCACAACAACCTTGTAAGGTAGGTCGGGCTGAGAAAAGAAGAGAAGCAGAGACAAAGACTTGCTAGCATAACTTTCTTGCTCATAGCTCTAATTACACTCGGTGGCGTTTACCTCAGAGTAAGCATGCCTCAGATCCCATTCTGTGGTCTACAGCCATAGGAAAGGATTTGAACCCAGGTCTCAGCCATGTCTCTGGCACCATACCAGCCTTCTGCTAAGATGGGGCATCAGGCCTTTTAGAGTGATGTTTGCCTTGCTCAGGATGCACAGGAGTGGGGTCTTGGAAGTCAAGAAAAGAAAAGACAATCTAGAAATATAAAAATAAAATACAAGCTTTAGAAATGCAATAAATTAAAATGAAAAAATATTAAAAAATAAAACAAGACCCCCATTCCCCACATCAGTCAAAAGCCAGAAAGGCAAAGGGGTCGCAAGGCTTGTGGCTTGCTCTGCACAGTTTTCTTGGCTGGGTTACAGCTTTCCTGGGGGTGGCTGTTGGGCCTTGGGGCGCAGCTCAAGCACCCCACCTCCTGGCCCCCTCACCCTCTTGGGACCTCCACCCCAAGCCTCTCGGGTCTGGAGATCTGGCCTGTCTGCTTACATTTTGTTCAGTGCATCCCCAAGAGGCTGACCTGCTTCTGGAAATCTAGCTTGTGTTCAGACAACCCATTTAACCGTGTCAAGGGAAGATTTTGCCTCTGGAGGACAGAACGCTCCCACAACTCTCTTTAGCTCCCCACCAAGGACCCAAATAATTCACCTCTTCATCTTCCAGGGATGCCCGCATTGATGCTCTGTTTTTTATGTGCAATACCATAAAAAAATGGGTGGACTTTTGATTGCACTGTTGTGGTGGCCATCTTGACTTCCTTGACCATACCCTGTGGACAACCCTGGCCGTCAGCTTCCTGTGTTACTTCAACGCTTAGGAGGTCCCCAACCACTCCAACAGGGTCTCCTTCTGAGCTAGGAGTCGCTGTCACACAAGTCACTCGTCTTGCTTAGTTTTAAATATGGCACTCCTTTTTTATGGCTTACAAACAGCCTATGTGATTTATTTAAAGTTCAGTGTCTTGTGCAAATCCAAGCAATGGGTTGATTCAGGAAGCCGGGGAAATGCATTGTGTGAACGCAGCCAGGCAGTCACAAGCCAGGCTAAGTTGGAGAAAAAACATCTTTCTTTAATTTACTTTATTAATGGCAGTTGATACTTTGCCCCGTTTATCGTAATTCAAGTACAGTAGGAACAGTCTCCTTCAAAGGCACCGAATGGTTCAACGTTGAACCCAAGTAAAAAATGAGTGACACACGTACAAATGCATTGGTTATTCTTTAACGAACCTGGTTAAATGGGTTGGACAAACCCAACGGATACATTCCACCTTCTTCTTTAACTTACAGCTGAGTCTAGAAAGCAAAATGGATCCTAGGAAGAAATTAGGGTGAAAACGAGGTATAACGGGATCCCCTCTCTGGACATCCGACAACTCTTCCGTGACATGCTCAGAGGCAAGCTTGACACCGGGAGGATGACACGGGGCGTAATCCAGGGCTCCAGAGTCAAAGGGCAAACTAGTCTAAGCCAAGGAAGCGTCGTCATTGGCTGCAAACCAGGGTTTGGGGTAACGGCGGTTACTTATGCAATGCGCTCTTCGCACAGTTGGAGCAACCTCGCAATGCAGTCGTCGGCTTGTGCCGATGAAGCTCTGCGTGCAATTGGGGGGCCAGGTCTGGAGTCTTAATTAAAAGTGGCTGATTGCCATCTTATCACGGGAGGGGAGGGCACAGCTCCGGACAATTGTCCCTTGTGTCCAAGGCACCGCTGTCGCCTGGCCGGCCGGCTGCCAATCTGAAACAGAGCAAGGGTGAAGGGTCACCCTGAATGGAGGAGAATTTGCACTGCAGCTGTCTCGGCAGAGCTCCAGCGATGAGCGTTTCTCTCGCCCATGTTTTTTCCCTTAGTCCTTGGCCCTGGGCTGGTGCTAAAAATATCTCTTGAAGAGGGAGGAGGGCTGTGTGAGCAGGGGAGGGAGGGAGGGGGCAAAGGGAAAAGGGGGGGACTTGATGGCCTGGCTGGCTTTCTGCAGTGGCCCCCTCTCCCAGCGTCCCCACCCCACCCCCTCGCCCTCCAAGTGTGACGCAGGACGAGTTGGCCTGGAAGGAGGCTGGGGAGAACAGCCGGCTGGTCTGCAAAACGCCAAACTGGGGAGCTTCACGCAGAGCAGACCATCTCACATCTCGGCTGGGTCAGTTTTGCTCGGGGCGCGTGGGAAGATGGAGAGGCAGTTGGGTGCAGTGGTTTAAGGCACCATGCTAGAAACCAGGTGACGCTGAGTTCTAGTCCTGCCTTGGGCACGAAGCCAGCTGGGGGACAGTGGGCCAGTCCCTCTCTCTCTGCCCTGGGAAGAAGCAGGTGGGGGAAAGCCACTTCCAAAGGTCTTGCCAAGAAAACTCCAGCGACTGGTCCTGGCAGCTGCCAGGAAACAAGACTGACTCAAAGGAAAGAAAGGAAAGAATGAAGGAAAGAAAGCAAAGAAAAAAATTAAAACGGAAAACACTTTAGGTGTGGTTAGAGGCACTGTTGCTTTCCCCCTTCCCTTATCACCTTCATTTTTTAGTTACTGGCCAGGATAAGGCAGCAGGTAATTAACAAGCCAAAGACATACTTCTACTAATGGAGTCATCCCTCCTTTGCTGTAGGGCAGTGTTTCTCAACCTTGGCATCTTTAAGAAGCGTGGACTTCAACTCCCAGAATTCCCCTTGTAACATTTGCAAGTCCTCCATGAAATTAACCACCATGGGCACATCAAGAACACCAATAATGCTGAAAAGACAAGGAGTAAAAAGGAAATTGGCTTCTCCTGGGAGAGAACTCTGCACATGTTCTACTGTTCACCACTTATCTGGAAGTTGTGAAATAAAACTGATTCCCTTCTGATTTAAGTACTGCTGAAATTGAGAAAGTTTGCAGAACTTGGAGGTGGAATTTCGGATGATAGGAATGGTAGGCAGAACATCGTTCTAGTTTTTAAATATCCCTGGCTTTGCTAACCTTGACTTCTTGGGTAATTGGGCACAAATTATTTATTCTGATATTCCCAATAGTACCCAATTGCAAACCTCCTAGACCAGCCAGCTATTTATTTATCAATCATATTTCTACCCCCGCAATTAATGAGATGCATACGGTACGGTAATTAGCATACCAATTAAAAGATCCACAGTAAGACAAAAATTATAATTACAGCGATAAAGCCTTTGATAAACAAAATCAGCAGGACCAGGCATTTTATTGTTCGCTTACAAACCCTTTGCAGTGCTGTCGCAGTTTTCAAACTTTTCTGCAAGGCTAAAACAATGGGGGTCCACGAGAGGGGGAGGCAAAAAAGTCAAGATGGCAACTACAAAACTCTGCATCCAGAGCCCCACCCCTTTTCTACCTGCATTGCGTGCTTCCAAGTGGCTGAAAAGGTGACCCCAATATTTCTCAGGTTGTTTACTTTAAATTTTGCCTCTTTTTCTTTCCACATACCTGCCCTCCCCAATAAAAAAAAGTATTCCACCCTTTTTTGCTTGTCCTGAGTTGCTGCTTCAACACTGAAGGTCACCCAACAGCAGCGTTTCTCAACCTTGGCAATTTTAAGATGTGTGGACTTCAACTCCCAGAATTGGAAGACGTTTAAGTAGATCATTTGGCTGGGGGTCAAGAGCCAACCTGTAGATTTATCTATATATTTTCTTTGCAGGGAGAAAGAAATTTGTTTGCAAGGTTGGAATTTAATGAGTGCAATTCTATGTACATTTGGTAGGAAGGGGTATATCAAGATCTAGAGCAATGTTTCTCAACCTTAGCAACTTTAAGAAGGGTGGACTTCAATTCCCAGAATTCCCCAGCCAGCCATCTTAAAGTTGCTAAGGTTGAGAAACACTGGGATAGAGGCCTTATTTCCACATAAATCTCTATAGGTTTCAACTGCAAATGGTGGCACGGATGCATTTTCTCCTTTGTTCGCTGGTTGCGCAGATTTTATCTCTGCTTTCTATCTCACATTGTGATCACGGTATGGAATCTGCTTTTTCTGCTTTTATCTACTGTACCCTGGGATGGCTTGGGTTGGAAGAGTTCATGCTATACATTTATATCATATAAAATGGAATTTTCTGTAAATTGTATATTTTCTACAAATATATATATATATATATACACACACACACATACAGACACACATATTATATATGTAAATTGTAGATATTCTATAAAATGAAATATATATTGTATACATTACATATAATGTACATATTTATATTTTATATACAGTGAAAATGAAGGGCAGCGTTAAACCAGTTCCCCTAAACAGGACAGCCCCCCGCCCCGACTGGTTTTTTTCCCCTCCCGTCCCCGATGATAGCAGTCCGTAGTAACAAACTTGAAAGAGCACTTCCGTCCCTTCCTTCGGATCCCGCCACCGCGTTTTGCTTCAGCGCCCGCTGGGAAAGAGCCAAGCCTGCCTGCCTGCCTGCCTGTCTGGCCGATGCGGTCCGCGGGAAAACGCGGCATGGCATTCCGGGATTAGCCCTGCGAGTTCTTTGCCGTCCGATTGTCTCGGGCAAAAGGTTTTCAAAGAGCAGCTGGAAAGTGCAAGCGCCCTGTTACGCGCACGTAAAATCCGGCTGCCTTTACCTTTGGGTTTTTTTGTTCTTTCCCCCCCGGCAGGTGTGGTCTCTGTGTCTGAAACAGTGCAATTTACAACTGATTCTCCATGCTCCAGGGCGTGGAAGGGGAAGGACGGGCTTTACCGATCGAACTGCTGCCTGTCAGGGCCGCTGTTCAGGGCACAGGGCTAGTTCTGGGTGAGAGAAATCCGGCAGGTGGCCCAGAAGCGGGTGCCCAATTTTACCCCCACTTTCTAGGCCCTTCCCATCCTGTCCGCTTGACCTTACTCGAATTGGTACCCCGGGGGAGGGGCCAGCTCAGCCGAGCGGGATCCGTTCATTCATCTGCAATTCATTCATTCCCACTCCAGAACGCCCCTCTCCGTTGCCATAGGAACCGCTTTATTTTGAGGCTGTAGTTGCAGCGCCTTGGGCTGAAGAAAGAAGGAAGGAAGGTCCGACTTTCCTGGCTGGGGGTCCCACACCCCTTTTGGTGGCCCCCCTCTTTTTAACCACGTGGTGGTAGGCAGGAAACTCAACGGGGACAACTTCTGGGGGCAGAATTCCACAGGGGAAGCATAGCCACAGGGATAATTCTGCCCAGACCTGTGTTTTTCAAACTTGGCTACTTTAAGATGGGTGGACTTCAATGCCCAGAATTCCCCCTCCGCCCCTCCTCGTCTGTGGGGGTGTTTGGGGTGGGAGCTCAACCCACCCTTTTCAGGAAGGCCGTGAGAAGAGCCCTTTGGGTGGGCAAGTGGAGAG